CTGTGGCAGCCCCACATTGTATTACTGAATAAAACAGTAAGCGTATTTACCCCTTTATGCCTTTATTTTGATAAAGTCGGTCAAGCCCACATATAAGGCAATATACACCACAGTTAAAACCACCCCCTCCCACCCACAAAAAAATAAATAACACAAATGAATATAGTACTTAATGTAGTGTTTTGCAGTATAGAAATTCCACACAATGATTCTGTTTAAAAAGGTAAAAATGATTTATAATACACAGTTATCGTAATGTCATCATGGTGCCCGCATAGAAAACTGACATGCAATCCATGCCTACACTGCGCAGTATAAATAGTAAGCAACTAAAAATACAAATAACAGGAACACTACAAAGTTTTTCCTTTTTTAAAAAGAGAACATATACATATAATAAATGCTAATTGCTCTTTCACATTGCCATCACAGTGACAGGGGGTCCGTTTGTCAAAGTAATAAATGCTTTCATCCTTAAAGCACAGAGTACATTTTAACCAACTGTATGATGAGGGGGGTTTCCTCTTCCATATTATACACTGAGGTGATTTCCAAATTGAGTAATATCCTAATAAGGGAAGGGCAAGTCTTAAATATAATTCCTACAGAAATAGAGCTTTTAAAAAACAACAATTCATACCTTACTCTGAAGTGGAATTTAATAAAAAAGAATCCTGTACCAGTTATTACAAACTTCGGGTGGCTCTATTTACCTAGCAGGAAGTTTTAAGTAACCATCTTTGTTAAGAGGGTTTGCACCAGTATTCTCAGGCATAATTTTTTGTTTTAAAGGAAAACAAAAAATGGTACATAAATTATCAATAGTTTCTTCCATAATTAAAAGTCAACATCTTTCTTTCCACTTTTTTTTTTTTTTTTTTTTTTTAAGCAACGGTTCTCTCTGTACAGGAAAGGTTTTTGCACAGTTAAAGAATGCTGGCAAAGTGTTCACTAACATGCAGAAGCAGTAGTGAGACAGACATGTTTGATGCTGCCTGCGGTCAACCATGCATGCAGCATACAGAACTACCATAACTTGGCCTGTGCAGATCCATTTTTAAAGAGAATGCAGAAATCAGTACTATATACAATGCAAAAGAGTTCTCCCGTCCCCCCCACCACTTAAGCTGCAATAAATAGCAGAAATCCACTTTTCTTTTTAAATCACAGTACTTTATACATTGAGAGTTTATTCCTATTACTTCCCCAAAGTATTGGCAAATGCCACAGTCTGTCGTGGGAAATTCTTATAAAAACATAGCTCTACAGAAATCAATCAGCAGGTATATGTTTGGACATTAACCCTTTGAGACATGAGACTGTTTAAAAAACAATTAAATCTAATTTAATACTTCCAATTTTTTCATCTTATTTTTCCCCATGCAATGCCCTTTCTTCCCCTCCTCCCACAAGTATCTCTGTAAGCATCAGTTCCTTTATTCTAATGGCCAATGCTTTTCCACATCTACCACCCTCATAAGCGGAGTAGAAAATGCAAAAGGTACTACTTAACTTTAAAATGAAATAGAAATCTACTTACGTTCTGAAAGCTTTGGGGATCCACCCTGTGTTTGAACTCGAAAACTTTAAACATTTATTGTTTAAAATAATGTAAACTCATACACAACTGTTAAAAAAAAATCAGATTTAAAGGGTATGGGAAAATATTCTTCTACTAGAATAGGGCACACATGCTGCTGTCAACGGGCCACTCTCCCAGGGAGCAAAGTGCAGAAACTATTGAAATGTTACTGACACTGAACTAAAATAACCGCTCTGATTCTCAAAGGGTTAAAAATGAAAGCAGCTAGCCTGCCCCCTACAAGGGCTAGAGAGATGAATCACATTCTTTCATATATATCCATCATCTCCTTCTCCCATGACCTACTCTTCTCTTACCCCTTCCAGAAAAGAAACACAAAGTAAAGATATTTCTCCTAGCTAGATGGTCCCTAATCTCCCCCCCCACACACACACATTGTTTTTCACAATTGCATCTAAATGGGTTTACTTATTTATTTTTAAATTAAGGCCATTTTAAATGTCTACTTACAAGTCTAATAAACAAGCTCTCCTATATACACGTGTAGTTTAAAAAAAAATAGAAGGTAGCATTTAGCGATATCTCCCTGTAAAACTATCCAGTCAGGAGTCTGTGAATTCCTAACTGGACGCTTCACTCTTAAGTGACTCTGGTTTTAAAAAAATAGATCATCACAGACAAGGATTTACATGCATAAGAGACATCTGAACAAGAGGTTGATATAGACAGAGATCCAATCAATGAACTAACAGTACTGTCAAGGAGATTAAGTAAACTGCACAAAGTGTACTCAATTCACACTGTACCTTTGGCTGTTTTGAAGCAAAGAACTTCATATCATCTGTGCCCAAATTACTCACGCTCTTTTAGGGTATCCTCCTGTTTAAAGCTACCTTTTTTTTTTTTAATTGAAAAAGCATTCGCAATCTGACATAAGCAGACTTTGGGAGTAACACGTAACATCTGGCTTAAATGTTGATGAACATTATAAATGGAGATGCAGGATAGCCTTGCAATTATGTGGGGAGGAACCAAAGAAAACCATCCTTTAACAAGAAGCTTACACAAAAGCTATTAGACAGAAAAAATAAAAATCCCACATCACTTTTAGTGCAAATGGTCAACTAATGGCACAAATATGTGAGCAAACACGCACCCCCATTATATAAGATCCCAGCAATAATTCTGCTTAGCAGTGTCTCTGTGCATCTCAGGACAGCACCTCATGGATTTCTGGAAGCACACAGAAACCTAGCTATAATTCATTAGAAGTAGCCCACTTTTGCCATGGACATTTACGTTCCTTGCTAAAAAAAAGGAAGGGAAAGGTTTTTGGGGAGTGGGGTGATTGGGTTGGGGGATGCTTTTTGATAAAAAAATTTCATAACAGGAAAAAAAAATAAAATAAAACCTAATTGATGCATTTTTTGACCAAATCCAAACAGGGCAATGCAGACTCAGTCAATAGGAGAACAGGATTTGGAGAGACTGGATAATAAATACCATTCCTGAAAGGGGAAAAACAAACAAACAAATGATGTCTTTAAATATAAGTTAAGAAGGCTTTTTTATTTGAAATTGTATTTATCAAAAATATATTTGGCTGTTCGGCCCCTGCTGCAGGGAAATATTCTCTTTTTGCAGTAATTCCTTCATTAACACATTCAATATACTATTTGGAATCAAAATATTTTTTTTTGTTAGTACAAGTCAAATAATGGAGATTTTAACTTCTGCTGAGGAGAAGGGTCGTGTATGTGGGTTCTCTTACTGGGAGGACTAGTATAATGAGCACAACATTTTAACAGCTATACTTCAGATAATTACCGTAAGTGCACTGGGCTCTTGGTAAACAGCAACTCATATTTCTCAGATTTGTAAAAGAGTGACCTAGTGTCAGGAATCTAGGACTCATTATTGTATGTCAATTTCAGCCATTACATTTACGTGAAATCACCATTTTAGACTCAATGGATGGGTTGTTTTTTTAAATTATTCACCATTCTGTTATGCTGTACCAGAGAATATTAGCGGTGACTAACAGAAGTCGTCTATTATGAATGTAAGAGCCTCAGCATGCTAGGATACAGTACATTTCACTATTAGCAAGTGATTTTCCCCAGGATTACAGAAGGAATATCACAGACTCATAGAAATGTAGAGCTGGAAGAGACCTTGAGAAGTCATCAAGTCCAGCCCCCTGCGCTGAGACAGGACCAAGTAAACCTAGAACATCCCTGACAGGTGTTTGTCCAACCTGCTCCTAAAAATCTCCAATGATGGGGATTCCACAACCCCCCTTGTAAGCCTGTTCCAGAGCTTAACTACCCTCATAGCTAGAAAGTTTTTCCTACTATCTAACCTAAATCTCCCTTGCTGAAGATTAAGCCCATTATTTCTTGTCCTACCTGCAGAGGACATGGAGAACAACTGATCACCTTCCTCTTTATAGTAGCCCTTAACATATTTGAAGACTATCAGATCTCCCAAGTCATCTTTTCTCAAGAATGAACACGCCCAGTTTTTTTACCCTTTTCTCATAGGTCAGATTTTCTAAACCTTATAATTTTTGTCCTCCTTTGGACTCTCCAATTTAGCCACATCCTTTCTAACTGAGGCCTCACCAGTCCCAAGTAAAGCGTGACAATTACCTCCCATGTCTTATATATGGCACTCCAGTTAATAAACCCCAGGATATTAGCTTTCTTTCCACACCTGCATCACACTGTTAACTCATACTCAATTTGTGATCCCCTATAACCCTCCAGATCCTTTTCAGCAGTGCTACCGCCTAGCCAATGATTCCCCATTTTGTAGCTGTGCAATTGATTTTTTCCTTTCTAAGTGTAATACTTTGCATTTGTCTTTACTGAATTTAATCTTGTTGATTTCAGACCAATTCTCTAATTTGTCAAGGTCATTTTGAATTCTAATCCTGTCCCCCAAAGTGCTTGTAACCCCTCCCAGCTTGGTGTCACCCACAAATTATATAAGCATACTTTCCACTCCATTATCCAACCCATTAATGAAATATTGAATAGTACCAGACCCAGGACTGGCTACCTCAGAACCCCACTAGATATGTCCTTCCAGCTGGACAGTGGACTGTTAATAACTATGTTTTGAGTATGGTTTTTCAACCAGTTGTGTACCCACCTTTTAGTAACTTCATCTAGGCCACATTTCACTAATTTGCTTATGAGAACATCATGTGGGAATCTGTCAAGAAACTTTAGTGAAATCAAGATCCATCACGTCTACATCTTCTTCCCCCTATACAGTAGGCCAGTAACCCTGCCAAAGAATATGCATGTTCCTGTTACCGTAATGTGAATATATAAAATGGCAAACACTTGACAGACTTGCCCTGGGTTTGCTTACTTCTGGTCAGCATCTGGCTTCAAATTACAGTTAGTTATTTTATTTATATATATATATATATATATATATATATATATATATATTATATTTCTAGAATAAAAATCACAAAAGGATGTACTGTATAAGTATTATGCAGAGTGCTTCAATTGGCCTTATGTAGTTTGGCTACTTTTCTAATATCCAAATACTTAAATAAAAAAATGCATAAATAACAGTAACAGAATATTCAATAGGCAACGAACAAGAATAAAAAAAATCATAAAAATAGCCCCCTGACTTGGGCTAGGTATTGCTACACAACGGCCCTTCCTGTTGCCTATATGAATTTCACACAAGAAGTAGAATTTAAAAATAAAATTCTCTGCAATTTAGCCACCACTATACTTTTAGTGGCTTCAAAATGCTCCACTCACTCCTTCACACTCACCAGGTAATGAATTATAGTACTTTTTTGTGTGCTCAGAAATTTTAAACAAGAAAAAGGCTCTGGAAATAGTGTTTACAGTTGTTTTTTTGGATAACCGGCTACCGAGAGCCCACTGGGCTGACAGGCCGCTTTCCTGCTTTGCCAAGTACACGAGTTTGCTCAGGGCATACGAACAGGCAGTGGGTGCTGGACAACAGTCAAGGAAACAAACCTGAAAACAAATATGGCATATCAATCAAGGGAGAAGCATTTTACTCTACAAAGCAACTGTCACAAAGTAGTCTGGGAGAGTCACAATTAGCAGCCTCTCCCCTTTCCCAGAGGGTGGCCATACAGGCATTTTGCTTTAGAGTTAGTGAGAGGGCAGTAGTCTGAGTTTCCCCTCTCAGTCTCGCAAGGAGATGGCTGTTGATCAGTTACAGAAACAGCCAATGATCAAATGCTAATGATGTGGTATTTTACAAAGAGAATCTCTTTACCCTTGACTCTGAACCTTCATCACCTGCCCAGAAACTCCCCCTTCTAGTGCAAAGGATAAATTGAGAACCTTACGCTGGGCCTTCGCTGGTGGGGGTTTGGAGGGGAGAAGGCTGATGCAAACTCCTTACTCATTTAATGGCAATGAGTAGATAAGGGATCAAATATGGTGCGACGGGGAATGGGGGTCTGCAGCACTGCAAGCTTAGAACAACAAGCTTTACTCATTGTATACGTTGTACATGACAGAGCTACTGCTCTCGGTAACTCTTTAATCTGACATGACTGACCCATTGGACTCTTCAGTTCAGCTGGGCTCCAGGAACTAATTTTATTCCCAGGCTCATGGTGTCCTCAGTCTACAGCCGGTCCATCCTGAAAGTGTCCTCTGTGGCAGGATCGGTGAGGACCATATCTGGGTCATTAAGCATGTGCAGTCCATCCAAGGTTAAAGGGTCAATTTTGAGTTCATCCAGAGGGAATTGGGAATCTGAATCAAAGCTGACATCTCCGACACCTGCCAAAGAGCTGGTCAGTTCCTTTGATAAGCTGGGAGGAGATTCTCCTGTCACTAGAGTGAAGAGGAGGGGAGACAGGCCTGAGTATTGCTGCTCATTTACCAAAACACCCATTTCTTTGCACAATCTTCTGGCTAAAGATAAAGTGATGAAACAGCTTGCACACTGATCAGAGGAGTTTACTGGATTAGCAAGAATACATTTGAAAAAGCAAAACAGATCCTAACCTGCATTGCAGGTTTGTCAAAACGCATCACAAAGCCTAAATTAAAGGGCTCTACATCATCATGGGCAGCCTAATACAAAGCATAACTCAAGCGAAGCCTTGTGGGAATGGAACTGAAAGGGACAGACCATACAGTCACATGACTATCACACCAACACTTGATTATTAAAAAATAAATGCAGAAAGCTTTGCAGAGGCACCTTTAGGAGTAAAATGGTCTTAACTTCCAAATGAGGAGTGCAGTGAGACCAAAGCCACCCTTCACTCCTCCCCTCCCAAAGGTCCAAAAAGAATTAAGCTCTCTCCATAACTTAACATATATGATGCCAAGGACTAGACATCAGAAGGATCCTAAAATGAAATTTGGACTAAGCTACTGACTTGTTTAGTGACCCTGGGGGAAATCACTTCACTTTCAAGTGCTTCATATCCACCTCAATTAACACATTGGGCACTAGGGTCTCTCTTGTTGCTAAGTCTCAGCAGAGAAGCTGAAGATAAAATGGGCCATGAAGGCTGAATTCTTCTCACACCATGACAGATGGTTCTAGAAGGTCAGGGGTGAAGTAGCTAGCACTGTCACTGCAAGTACAGTCTATGTTGTGACTAAATGAAGGATGTCCGCCTGGCACCTTTCACCAGCACAAAATCCACAAACATTTGTATAGTCTAGAACACAGCCTTCACAGGCTCCAACACTCCCTCCCAGGTCCACTCACCAAGAAGAGCACACCGTGAAAATGACCCAGTACCATGAAGGAAAGTTTTACTCGTCCCTGTTCGGTTAGGGCAGCAAGTGCCTTACCTGTGAGGATGATGTTGGGGATGTTTCCATGGCTGGAGTAGTTCAGCTGTTGCGAGTCCTGCAAGTTGCCATGGCTCCCAGTAAGTCCCATCATGGCTGCCTGGGAGTAGTTAAGGGTGGAGCAGGGGCTGTACAGGCTGTTGGAACTAATGGCGTTTTCTATCATATTAAACTGTTCAAGCTGAAGACCAAGGCAAAAGGAATAGTTACTTCTAGCCATCAGGAAATGCAGTGAAGCAATTTACAAACCTCTAGTTAGGGAGATAACATTTCAGAAGGGCAGGCAAACAAATTCATCTTTAAGTTTTGTAGACCAGAATATGGTCTATTTCCACCTAGCTTTGCAGACTAGTTTATTGCCAAATTCAGCTCTTGTGCCAAATCAAATTGCTGCCTACAATATCCTACCAGGCAGCCAAACCTTTGAAATAAAGAAAACAATACTTAAAAAAAAAAAAAAAAGACAAAACAGCAAAAAAAATTAAAGCGATATGATTGATGCTATTAAAGCCAACTATTTGCCTGCCTCAAGTGCAATCCCATTCTGAAGCCATTTCACTTTCTCAACTAAACTGGCACATTTAACAGCTAAAGTAGGGACTATAGTGGGTGGCTGGTCTGACAAAGGCATGGAGGTCTGCTTGTTAAATTTTGGGATCCCACACATCTTGGTTGCAAATTATAGATATATGTATTTGTTGCCACCCACAAAGTGAGATCTTCCAAATGGGATCACTGTCAAGGAAGGTTGTGGTTTTTTTTAAATCTAATAGTTTTGGCAGAGTCCCTTTAAAAGCCACCTGCTATAATGCTTATGGGGAACAGCAAATAAAATGAAATACCAGTGCAATTACAAACTAAAACAGAAGTAATAAGATATGGACAGAAATGTGATCTTTAGAATAGCCATAAATTGAATTCTATGTATTTATTTTAAATCGCAGAATGGCCAAAATATAGTCAAAATCGGAGATGAATTTGCTCACCTGATGGGATAGGGCATTAGCCTGCCTAGCTGTCATCTGCTGATCATAATAGGAGTCACCAAATACACTCCCCAGAATGGAAGAATGCTGAAAACAAAACAGAGTCTGGATGTCGTGAAAGTCACACAAACAGTTGGGCTTAGCCAAGGTGTGTGAGTGACTGAACCCTTCCAACTGAATGGGATCAAATCTGCTCAGAAATACCATTAATTATTTATTAAGGAAAACCAATAAAGAACAAGATAAAATATTGGATTTTCTCTTCAAACACAAGAGTCCTCCTGTATAGCACTTTTTATTAAAGCACAAGAAATATAGGCTCTAGGAAACCATAAGCTTCCTCCCATACGGGACATATATAAGCTTCTGCTTTGTAACAGAAGTTATGCAAATACACTAAAACAAAAAAACCACTGCAATTTTTGCAAGAAAGAAACATTTTTCCATGAAAAGAATAAAAACCACAAATGCAGCTAAGGCAGCAAAGTGCACGATGCAACTGATAGGTAACATGATAACAGTTTTCAAGTACGTAAAAGGTTGTTAGGAGGAGGAGGGAAGTAAATTGTTCTCGATAACCTCTGAGGATAGGACAAGAAGCAATGGGCTTAAATTGCAGCACGGGTGGTTTAGGTTGGATATTAGGAAAAACTTCCTAACTGTCAGGGTGGTTAGGCACTGGAATAAATTGCCTAGGGAGGTTGTGGAATCTCCATCATTGGAGATTTTTAAGAGCAGGTTGGACAAACACCTGTCAGGAACGGTCTAGATAATACTTAATCCTACCATGAGTGCAGGGGACTGGACTGGACGACCTCTCAAGGTCCCTTTCAGTCCTATGATTCTATGATAATGCAGTAAGTACTTCTGTCATCAATATGCCTATGATGGCTGGTTACTCATCTCCCTCACCTAGTATTTACAAAATTAGCAGTTTAACTAAAACAATAAGGTGCCACAGTGAATCTCAATTTACAGTATCAAGTCTTTTGCATCAAGAGCAGATCAGAGAAGTTATTTATTAAAATGCCTGGGTATGAAATGTGCTTTCAGCAGTACCAAGAGAAGGTAAATTTGCAGAAGGAATTCTATAACCATGCTAATTTCCTTCTTTTCCTTTTACTGAAATGTCCATTTATCAGTCATTCTGAAGGTGACCAATAGCTTTGAGTTGTTGTTTTATTTTATTTTTAAACACCATCCAACTTTCAACTTCTATTTACTCAAAAGGCTACTGGCTATAATAGAAATCACAAATATAATTCCTTCTTTAAATTCTAACTTTGCAGATTCTAGCTGAAAAATCTACTGTCTCCAACACAACTAGTGTACTTATAGAGAACTTACTTGGAAAGTTTGTCTCATGTTTAGAGATGTATTTGTTTTTGTATTTTAAATGTCTTGCATAGTATTTTCAAGCAGTTTTAATTTAATGAAATTCAACCACAAGGCTAAGAGACAAATCATTTTTCCCACATAAAGTTGAATGACATAAGAAATTTTAAGCAAAAACCTAATTAGCAACTATACAGTTACACCAACTAATACAACTAAGGACATTAACATGGCAAAGTTGCAAAATACTCAAAAGCACAAGATGAAGTCCACAACAGTGAACATAAAACCAATTTAGCAGACAACAGTTAAGATAACTAATAGTAAAATCTCTGATGAAACATTTTTCTGAATGGCACCGATAATTTGTGTGTGTGTGTGCGCATGCATCTATATAAAATATTTCAATCAGTATGAACGAGGAGAAGGGATGGTTGTTTTTTTCAGCAAGCCTTCCAATAGAAAACTGTTGAACTCCCGAGTAGTGAGCATTCTGTAGGAACCCAGCACAATGCTGGAACATGGTGGATACTTGCAACCCAGCCTTAAAGCGTTGCTCCAGGCAGCTAGAAGCCTCCCAGCCCAGGGAGATAGACCAGCACTAGCAGGGCTCAGGCTAGTGAACTAAAAACAGCAGTTTGGATGTTGTGGCTTGGGCTCTCAAGCCTACAGGGTCGGGTGGGCTTGAAGGCCCAAGCCATAACCTACACACTGCTATTTTTACTCTGCTAGCGGGAGTCCGTCGACCCAGGCTGCAGGACTCTGTGCCAACTGCACTGAATATATGCCCAAAGGTTCTATGTTCCAAACTCTGATGTGTAAAATCAGAAAATATCCTGATGCTCGGCAAATCTTGTCTGGCAGGAAAGATCACGGTCTCCGGTCACTCTCAGAAAGGGCTTGGCTATTAAATGAAGCGAGGAATCTTTTCCTTAACACTGATTCATGAGAAAGAACAGGATTTTACAGCAAAAACAAGGTTTCCTTCACAGAATATTCCCACTCTTATTGTTTTACATTTGAAAGGGATGATTCAAACACTTTCTCATGAATTCTTAAACTAAATTATAATTAATTGCATCAAAAAGTGAAAAATAAAAGCACTTTTTCCTTCTAAGTACTGTAACAAGATATTTTTGCCAGAATTATATCCTGCATGTGAAATAAGGAGCTTCTGTCTCAGTACCATTTATAAGACATGACTGCCCCGCCCCCAATACAAACCCTAACTTCAACAGTGCCTCCTCATATCCTCAATATGAGCAACTAACACCAACCTGGAACTGTCATTAGAAATGCAGCTGACATGCCGCCGTCCCAAACAGAACCTACGCAAGACCCTTCTCCTTTAACTTCTGCCATTTTTATGCAAGCTTTTCAAAGATACAGCAAAAAGGAAGAAAGAGAGAAAAAGAAAGAAAAAGTCCTTGCCAAAGTATGGTTATCATGATTCCTGTCCTAGAAGAAGCCTGAAGTAGAACATGAAAAGCAATGAACTGGACAAAATTCTTGTGTGTTAGCCCCTGTTCCTCACCAGGCGCTCTGAACAAATCACAGAAACTCAAGCTACATTAATTTTTTCTTGAGACTCCTAAATGCACTATTTAATAATTTTATTAGTGGTAAAGCTCCCTAAGGAAATCAATCAGAAAGTTCATTACTTCAACACTTCAGGTCCAAAAATAATTTATCAACTGGTCTGATATACATCTTGTTAACCCATCTCCTACAGAAATACTATACAAGGTCTGTTTTGTCAACAGTACATCTTCCTTGGTTAATGACGTGGTGACTGCAAAAAACCTAGCTTAAATCATTGTCTAAAAATACATACCATATTTTCCAAGTATTTAGCTGTTCTACTAAAAAAGCAACTTTATATCTAACTGAATCAAGTAGTAATAAAAAAAGCCAGTGTTAATGAAGAGCCATGCAAACAAGCTGAGAACCACAAGCAGAGCTTTTCAATTCATGTTTTAACGGAAAGTCCCTTACAGATCAGAAATGAGCATTTGGAACTCAAGAGAATAGCAAATAGATTTGGGGCAGGAAGTTGAGGAATAATTCCTGTTGCATGAACTAGATGTGATTAAACAAGTTATATTCTAAATGTTTACATAAAGAGAGCTGGGTTCTACTATTACTATAAATAGGGATTTACCTAAAATTAATAAAAAAAACAGAAGTTAGAGATGGTAGAGGCTCACAAAACCACATCTAGCCCACCCATCCATCCTCAATGAGAGCAAGATTGTTCCCCTACACTACATCTTACAGTTTCTTGACCAGCCTATTTTTTAAAATGTCTCAACTGATGAGGGTTCCACCTCTTCCCTTGAGAGACTATTTATGCTGGAGTCTAACAGACCTCACCATTAACAAGTTCTCCCCACCATCCCAACCAGTCAGCCTACATCTTCCTTTTCTTATCCTCCTTTTTCTCCTAGTTATACCCTTTCCTATCACTTCTCTCCATCCTTAAAAATACGTAGCTAGTTATGTCACCCCCACCTGTTGGCTTACAGATGTGGGAAGGAGGATAGGTTTTCTAATTTAACAAGGTATCAAGAATTATTTTCCAACCTTTCCCATTTGGCTTTTGTTAGACGGCAAACCATATCTCAGCATCCTATTTAGAAGTACAGTACTTCAAACCAAGTTCTGCTAGTTTGGAAACTAAGCCCCAACATTAATTAACTGTTCCTTGTAAATTGATCTGACATGTATCCCTTTGTCAACATACCAAATATGAAATGAAATTTTTTTAAGAGGCCAAATAGTAAAACAGGCAATGTAATTAAACTCCACCTCCTTCCACATATCTGCTAGAGGAGGAACCAGATGTCTGTTAGGCACATCACAGTGACTTGGTTTAAATACGGAGGGAAGACCAATAGGGAAGACTGCTCTCAACTGCATTCCACCATTTTAGACTGCCCCATGATAATAAGGTAACTGGTCTGAGGACACAGGCAGACAGGGAGGAGTTACTGACCAGTCAATGGACAATCAGTAGAAGCCTACATTTGGGTGCACTGCCCAAATGGGGGTTTCAGGGCTGAGAATTAGTAAGAGTGTCTGGTAGCAGCATTAACCTCATGGCAGCTTAGAGAAAAGGGAGTACGTTTTCCTGCCTACTCTGAGCCATACAAAGAAAGCAGCAGGGCTAGAAGAGGCAGGTAGAAGAATCAGTTACAGTGGCAGTGAAGTGAAGGTTGAAAAGTCCGACTGACAGCCTTAACCCTCAAATCTATTCCTGAGTTCACTAAGTTGTGACTGAAACCACTGACTTAAGTCTCTGGCTAATGGCCAGGAGAGATGAATCTCCAACTTTGAGGAATAATTTTATTTATTTTAATTATGCTTCTCCTTATAAATATCCTTTAAAAGTTAAAGTACCAGAAAACAGGAAATACAATTTCAGACTTTCTCATGGTGTCCAATGAGCGCTCCCTCCTGGATCCCATCACCATTTTTGGGATGTAGGAAAGGGCAACAACTTTGACCTATTTCAGCAGCATTAGGAGGAGATTCTAAACTATCTCAGCACGGCCTGATTAGCAGTTCCCCCTCAAAACTGGTTCACTATTTCTTTAGTCGCCCTGCAGCTGGTGGATTAAATTCCTGTTGCTCTGTTTAAATACGGGCACAATGATTTGTGGGACTCTGGCACATATAAATTAATATTGACACAGACAGGGAAGATAGCCACCCTGCAAGACGAATATTCAATGTTTTTCTATCCTGTTTCTTTCAAGCCATGAAATGGAGTTGCTGCCTTTTCAAGAGTTCACTTTCTACAGAGGTTTCTTTAGAAGTGCCCATTGTTTCCTGCTTTAATTGCACCTGAGGATGTGAGCGGTATTCAGAGGTGCACAAATCACCTGAACAGACCTCCCCCTCACTTCCTTTCACATCCCCACGCCCTTCCAGCCACTCCAACAAACACTGCTACAGACTCACACTTCCTATGAGGCATCATTCCCTTTATTGAAACAGAGCTTTCTGGATGCATTTTCTGTGGAGCTCTCATGAAGGAGTAATTGAGTGTAAAAAAGTTTAACAGTAGTTTCTATTAAAGTTTGAATTCACCAACTTTTGGAAAACTCTGTATCTGAATGAAGCTGCAAACATGATGAGACATCAGTGATGCATGAAGCACAAAGTTACAGTGAGACAACCATGGGTCAGTAATGGAAAGACTCAACTAAAAAACAAACACAAGAAGCAAGGCCTGTGGAAGCACAGAGTCCCTTACTTGAGGGGAGCTGCCAGGAGAGAAGCCTTGATTGGAGACAGGAGAGGTGGGAGACTGGTTGGCTGGGGATCCAGCATTACTGCGGTACTGCTGGAGTGAAGCCTACAGAACAACACAGAATTAAAGACCATGGGATTGATGGAAGGTTGAAAAATTATATACTTATTGGTGTACAGCTGGGGAAACCAGGTGAGACCATCTTCAAGAACTCCCGGAGATCAGCAATTATGCTATGACCGTGAATAATGCCCCAAACATCATGAAAAAAGTCAAGATACCAACACGGCATGGTCTGGTGTCTAACTATGCACACCTAAAAACAGGGACGTGCTGTTATTCAAGGACAACTGAAGTATTTCTGGTTTATGTTTTGTTTTTGGTTTAAAAAATGGTCAGCCAACACATAAAAGAGACACGTGTGGAAAGAGGCCTCCCAATCTGGGAATAATTTGAAAATATTGGCACTGACACCTTCAAACTCAACTGCACCCCCCCTTCTTAATTTGATGCCTATGGCCCTTAGAAAAGTGAATGAATGAATATTGTTCTTCCTACTCTTAGGAATTAGTCTTGGTATATTAATTAGGTTAAAGTATATAATTGCAAAGACAAACCCTTTTCATAACTACATACTTTCCCACCGCATGAACTAGACACCATCTGATACATACACTGTCTGTAGGCTAATGCTAGCTATGCCCATATGGCTTTTAGCCTTAGTGAGATAAGATGTTCACAAAATTACCTTTTCACTGTCACATAATGTACCCTGGATTAAGGTAAGAGAATCACAAACTCAAAACAGATACAGAACAGCTGTTGAAATAATAAACACAGCTCTTTCTATAATGCTGTCTTTGGGAGCCAAGATTATTATGAGGAAGAACTCAATATCGCTGAGCAAGGAGTAATTTAATCAGACAGTTTTATAGATTGAGGAGTGGTGTATTAACACTTTCTGACACTGTTTAAAATGCATAAAGAATAACTTAAGGTTAGTAAACCTTCTTGACAAAGGTTTTGTTTGTTTGTTTGTTTTTTAAGATCCATAGAATTCAGGTATTATATTGAGATACTGCAGACTGGACTTCAGTGGGGCTATGAGGATGAATGGAAAACCTTTCCATGAAGCTGCACTGTAGCTTAGAATACTTTTTTACCCATGTTTAAAATGTAGTGTACTTGTATACAATTTCAAGTTCTAAAGAGAAACCTAACATTCTGAATGTTAAGGGCTTAGAGAAGTTTAGGATGAGGAAAGCAATGTGAAAAGCAGAGAAGGAAAATCAGAATATCTGTATTAGTTATTGCATAAACATCAGAATGAAAACATTCAGACATGTTTTGAGTGGCTGTCATGTCAAAACCAATATCCCTTCAAACTACTGACTTCTCTTTCACCTTTATCTTCTCCTACTCCCTCACAATCCTGGCATAGAAGCCACATCTTCACCAGCACAACCTGGTTTAAACCTGATCCCCAGATTGAAACCCACAATCATGTCTTAGCCCTCCATAGTGAAATGGCTCTTCTTGTTATCTAAACAGTTGCTAGTATTGCCCCACTGCCAGGAAGAGAAGATGTTTCAATGAAATCAGAGACAGCAATTCACTGGCCTTCGGAGCAGAACCAGCAGAGAATGTGCCAAGTACCTCTTCCTAGCAACGGGACATCATCTCAGGGCTGGCCTATTATATTGAACCACCTTCTGAATTCTGGATTCCAGTTTGTAGGAAGAGACTGGACAATTTACAATAGAAAATTTTTGCCTTCTTGGTTTAACTCTGCCCTTCAACCACAATACACATAGATGTGTATACTCAGTTCTTTAGAGAGACTTGAAAGCAACTATAACAAACTCTCCAAGAAATAATGTTAGCCAAAAAAATTCCTCTTGAACAAACTGCTGTGCTTTAAAAAACAGTATCTGTGGTTTTCTGTATCTTGGGTGGAAAATGCAGATTAGCAGAACTTTATCAAACTTCAGTTAAATGTCTTATCTGGACTGTGTAGCACTCAACGTGTGGGTACCTGATTCACCTGGGGCAAAAAATAAGTACATATGATAGCTGGGAAGGTATAGCAGTACACAAGCACTAAAGTGCAAATGCTGCTGTCTGAAAATTAAACTAATCTGACCAAACTCCATTTTGGCAGACACCTGAACAGAGTTAATATGAATAAATATTTTTCAGTTTTACGAAATTCTGGTCTTTCCAATTGTATAAAATGGTCTGGGTCTTTCAGAACTTAAAACTAGCCAAATTTCAAAAGATGCTTCTCACTTTACAGATAGAGATGTTTATAAAATGGTACTTTTGAATTCAGTCTCTCCATACTTAGCTGATGGAAAGCAGCAATGAAGTGACTAACACCTTGTAAACTGCAATGCTAACACAAATGCTTATCTACATCTTCCCTTCGTAGGGCACTCAGAACTCACAGTTGTCTCATTTAAAATGACAATTTTCCCCCCAACCACTTCCTTTATTAAAAACCCTACTGACGTATCACCTTGACCTCTGACTTGGCAATTTATAAATTATTTTATATATCATCCACCCAAAGAATAAGGGCATCATCTTCATTACCCACCCGTTTATTTTTTTGCTGGCCTGAAACTATATCTCTGAAGACGCATCTCCACTGCTTCGAACTTGAGTTTGTTAAACTGATTTTTAAAAAAATCTATTTAAACTATTTCAAGTGGGCCTGAATTTAGACAGGGTTAGCCAGAGTTATGGAGCCATTCCCATTTTACCAAGTGTTTTAGAAATCACATTCAGTAGTTTAAACAGTTTGGCCTGGTTCATATGGGTTGGCCATATTATGTTTAAAACATTTTTTATAGTATGTTTAAAACATGTTAAAAACTGGTTGAACCAAACTGTTTGAATCCAGTGTATACAGTGCCTGGATGTGGAACTGCTACAAGGGCTATCTAGTTAGAACTCTGACAATGCAGGCCAACACTACTGTTGAATTCTACACGGTCATGTTCTCTGGAAGAAAGATATTTGTTTCCACTTATATCATCTTCAGTCATTGCCCAAACTTACCGAGTTGATGTCTATGCCCATGGAAGGTTGGGTCTGGCTGCCTGGAGGTGACTGTGGGATGGTAGATGGTACCGTGACTGAGAGAGGGGGAAGCTGTGCTCCTCGCTGTAAGCCAGAAGTCTGCATTAAAGGGGTATTCTGAGGCAGACTACTTGCCACTTGGGTCTGTTGCTGTTGCTGGGAACTAGCCTGGGTAAAAAACTGATATGGTGGAAGCTGCTGTTCCAAAGACAATGCATCCATAGCCACAGCCTTAAAGAGAAAACAGGAAAATGTACTATGCAGAGCTCTGTTCAACTCTGAGACTCCTAAAATTTGACACCAAGTGAATATTCATATATATCTAAGCATTATATATCACATAAGCAATCTGGAAAGTTAGCTGAGGTCTTGCATTTTAAAAAAAAACTTGCATTTAAACCTTCAAGGATGTGGTTTAAAGGGACTAATTTGACATTTTATTTGTTGTAAATAAATAAAAAGTGTGTTTGCAAACCTAGTTTAATGTTTGATTTGAGAGCTGACAATGGACCAAACTAGAGCATGCCAGGTATGGCAGAGGCAGCCTACAGGTGCATCAAAGGGTCAAAAATCCTAAGAGCCAAAGGAGTTTCTCACATGAAAGCATGAAACACAAGAGAATCTTGTGATGGTATCTTTAAAGAAAGATGTTTTCCTCAGTGCTTCCAAGGCCTTGGAAGACAAAGTGAAATCTGTTTCCTTAAACTGTCTTCTCCACTGTCTGACAGCATACATGAATTTATCTCGGTAGAATTGCTCAGATCTGGCTGCTGGCTTTGATTTAAAACAACAACAACAACAACAACAAAAAAACAGCCCCAAAGCATTTATTTATAAAAAGGAACATAATGACACTAACTTTACCTAAAGGAGAAAATTATGGAATTAATGATGCGACTACAGGTTTATCAACCTTGCAGCGAACATTTCCCTATGTGAATGAAGTTAGAAACAGACAGCTATGATCTAAAACTTTACAAAGTGGAACAAGGTTTGTTGTTCTTACAAATGTGCTTCTCCAAATCCCCAAGCAGCTTCCTACCTGAGTAATTGGTGACAGAGGTGAGAGTGTAGGAGACATCTGTTGGGACTGTGGTCGTCTGGAGTCTGCATTCAGTGAGAGGGGACTGACAGCTGGCTGCCGGGATGAGGCTTGCGTCGTCATTCCTGCCATTAAAGGAAGAAACTAGTTTACGCAGGAACTGTGGTGATACTTATTTACATTTAACAATTTGTTTATATGAATTAAAATTATGATGAATAAATGGCTGAATTTTACAAAACTTTACTGTAAAGTGTTGAATATGGCTAGGCCAATATTCTATGCTGAACTCAGCATCAGGCTGAAATTCTTAGCAAATCTGTAATGTATTTTGTGACAGTGAAAATGCCATGATGGAGAGAAGATTGTTGCAAGCATCTCTGCTGATCGCTCCTGTTAATGTATAACTAGACACTGCCATTCAATTAGCCCAGTGGTTGTCAAACTGGCATGCAGAGCCTTTCTTGATGCTTCATAGACTGAAACATTTTAAGAACTGGGCAGTGCAGTTTGTGATGAAGGGAACAGGAAGGGGGTCTGCAAGATGATCCCTTTCTAACAAAGTGGCCCACAGATCGAAAATCAGAACCACCAACCTATCCCAAAGCCCATGAGACCCACTGGAAACTTCCATGGGCAAATGAAGTCAGGTCATTTTATAAAAAACTAATACGAGCAGGGCCATAATTCTGTTTCCTGGAACGATGGGGAAAGCTGTTATCTGTGTTCATCTCATAGTCCTGAGCCACTTCTTATTTCCCCTACTAATATCCTACACTTTCAAGATCCTGCATTGTGGATACCATTGTTCCATGCCAAATGGACTCCCTTTGGCTGCAGGCAATCCTATTTATTAATACTTACCATGCTGTGACACCTTTCATTCACAGATCTCAAGTGCTGTACAGACATTTTTTAAGCCTTACACAGACTCTGGGAACCATGTAGGGGGCCCACATCCATAAACAATCTCAGGCATTCATATACTACACTGAGGAAAGCCATACAAAGCACCTAGGCAGAAAGTACCTGTTTGACGAATCGGCGATGAATGGTTGCATTGTGGGGGAGTTTTTCTTTTGTTATTGGGATAAGAGGTCAGATTTATAGATGAGGGAGGTTTCAATGGTCAGCACAGAACACTCTACAACAACAGTTACTAAGGATATTCCTACCCCTACATAGTTTGCATGGCATCAGCACTTTTCATCAGGGGCACTTCATTAACTAACCCTCACAACATCCCTGTGGCACAGATATTCATATGCTCACTTTACAGTTGAGTAAGTTGAATGCACAGAGATTAAATGACTTTCCCGAAGTCAGTGAGCAAGAAAATGGCAGCGCTGAAAATAGAAACTGGCAATCCCAACCCCGCCATCTCCTGCTCTGACCACTAGACGACACTCCTTCCACCCCCTAGAAGTGCTGTTGTTAAATGAGATACTCTCTCATTCCTCAGGCTCTCATGACTGAAGATAAAGCAAGCAACCTTATGATGAAAGACTGCCAAGTTGCTGTAATTTACCAACTCTTTCTGCAGTGAAGGAGCAAGCCCATGTTTCTGTGAGTAGTCATGACTGAGGGATCAGTGAGAGACAAGGACAACACAGAATCTGACACCAAAACTCTTGCCACAGTTTGATTGGTGCTTCTGGCTCTCATTCATGTGACAAGATTGAACAACCCAACAGCTCCAGATGGTGTATCAGAGTTGCAGAAACTTGGAGCAGAAAGACAAGGAAACAAGTTACTCAGGCCTGGTTTACATTAGAAAATTAGGTCACTTTAACTACATCCACCAGGAGGTATGAAAAATCCACACTCCTGAGGGGTTTTGTTAAGCCGACCCAAGTCCCCACGTAGACAGCGCTACATCTACGGAAGAATTCTAGCTACCATCTCACGGAGAGGTGGATCTCTGTGTTGTAGGTAGTGTCTACACTGAAAGAAAGACTTCTGAAGAAGTGGGTTGTAGCCCACGAAAGCTTATGCTCTAATAAATTTGTTAGTCTCTAAGGTGCCACAAGTACTCCTGTTCTTTTTGCGGATACAGACTAACACGGCTGCTACTCTGAAACCTGTCTACACTGAAGCGCTACAGTGGTGCAACTGTGCTGCTGAAGTGTTAAGTGTAGACAAGCCCTGAGTCGTGTGCTCTAGTTCTGCCCTTCCCCCCCTCCCAGTGTTCTATACAACAGGATAGTACTTTTAACAGGTATTTTTCCCCGCCTCATTGTCCTTATGCCACTGAATCCTGAACAATGCTTCTGCCCACTGTATTCACCAGCCCTATTCCAGCTGCATTTGAAAGGAGATAAATGGTTTACTGGCAGGCAAAGCAAGACCAGATTCATTTTAAGTGTAACAGATTTGTTCACATGTGTAGATGAACAGGACACACAAATAGTTTTCATTACAATAAATTTAACTGCATTAAATATGAATTCCCCACAAAAGCAACCAATCTCAACAGGTAACATCCGTCAAGGTTCTGCATTCACTCTGACTAGTATTGCCTATTAGCTTCAGCTCATCCTTGAAAAACTGGGATAAAGGCAGCACTCATAGAAACACTATGTAGCTAATGCAAAAGGTGATTTCAATTCTTAATTATGACAAAGTGCTCTCTGTACCCACTGGAGGCTGATGCAAGAAGCAACACTACAGAGATTGCCAGAGCCTTTCATGCAGAGTTTCCATCTTCACGCCAAAGCAATTGAATTTAATTTTAGGTATGTTATGGAACAAGGACAGGACAATCCATTCAATACAGCTCTGAGTCTGTTTCCTGAACAACATGTTAGTTTTTGTGCATTTCAACATCAGAGAGCTACTGACAAGCGGGAGGGAACTTAGAAGAGCAGCGAAAATAAGCAGCTGGAGACACTGACTTTCAAGAAAGCCATGAGAAACAGAGCTGGGCAGAGAATGGCAATTCCATTTCACTGAGGATTTAGAAATTTGGTTTCATAGCAGTTTGAAACAAAACATCAAAAATGTCAAAATCCTCCATGAAACAGAATTACTGTTCTCTGCCCAGTTCTACTGGGAATCTCAACCCTTAAGCAGTCAGCCTGGTGGGTTGTCCTGGAGCAAGAGACCCTGGAAGGCTGGGCTGCTTGACATGTGAGAACCCCAAATCCCCAGGCTCCCAGCACCCTGTCAGCCGCTGGGGGGGCTGCTGAAAAGCCTGGAAGCCCGGGCTCTTGAGGAGCTGGGCAGGTGAGCTGGCAGGAGGTTTCCAGTGGAATTTAACTGATATCAACACAGCCCCGCAAAATGCTTAGATTCTGATGAATCATCAAGTTCTGATGAAAATGTTGTGTGTAAATATTTCCAACTAGCTCTTATAAGAAATCCCAAAAGGTGCTTTCCTCCCCTTACCCTTGTACTTTGGAGGAGGTGTAAGTGTTCAGAAAAAGCATCTCTCAACATATACAATGGGAAATAGCTCCTGGGAAAGGCTTGATTAAAAAAAGGGTGTTTTATATTTTCATTTGGACAATTGTAACTAAAAAGAAGTGGATGAAATTAATAAAAGGACTGTTCAGGACATCAGCGAATAAAAATATTTCTAACGATATTCTTGTGACATTCTTTAAATTACGGTCTTTGGTTATGTGTGCACCTGATTAGAATCATTATAGTTTCTCAGGATACTCTGCAGTGAGTACTTTTTAAAAAAGCTTGCTGGGGTGCTCTGCCGAAGGAAGTACACTTCTCTTGCAAGATACAATGGCACGACTCCATTTGACTAGCAAACAAAAGTTGCTTGTAATTATTTGATGGTCAGACAAACTATTAACCCCACTCACATCTATCCCCCTAATAAGTATAATCTCAGAAGAAAAAGAGAGAGCCTTTATAGTAACATTTAGAAACCCTCTTCCGAGGGGTACTCGGATCCTATAACTTCAAGGTCTTTTGATCTAAGCAGGCTGAATTAGCAGGCTCCTCTTCTGCAGGTTTTTCTGCTACAACGCACCGTCATGCTCTGCAGCAGCCTGAAGAGCCCCGTTCTGTGCTGATCACTGATGGCTACCATATAAGAAGAATGTTTATCCCAACTCCCATGCCACATGCCCCAACACCACCTTCTTTCTTCTCCTCCCTTCTGTCCTTCGTCTCTTATTCTGTTGTCAGTCTCTCTCCCGTCCCATTATCTTTCCCATTTCTTTGCTTCTTTTGCAGCCCCTGATGTACAGTGGATACAAAGTAATAGGGCACAGCAACAGAGGCAAGCTACACAAGAAAGGGAAGGAAGAGTGCAGTATAACCAAGACAGCTTGTATAAGGAAATGAATACTGGCAGCACTCATTCAGTGGCCCTCTGGGCTGGTGCTTTATAAAATGCAATTTCTTTGCTAATGGTGTTTTCAGTGATATAAGGCACCTGCTTGCTCAGGCAACATGAGTTATTTCTAAATAAAATAAAATAACCCAAGTCAGAGATTGATTCTTTTTTCTTTCTGATCACTGGCTCAGGCTATTTGTCTGGAAAAGCTTACTGGTCCTGAAAATACAGTATTTGTGCTGGTCTACTGACATTTTTCTAGCACGGTTGATAATGTGACTTTTAATTATGTATTATTTGTATTGCAGCAAGCCCTGAGGCTCCAACCAGCATCAAGGCCTCTTGTGCTAAGAGGTGTACAAACACAAGAGTCCTTGCCCTGAAGAGCTTACAATCCAAGACGACAACAAAACAAAGAGCGAGTAGGATACAACATTAAGGCAATGTGGTCCAGATGGTTGTAAGTTTATTCCTGAAAGTCTTACATAGGTGGGTGTATTTAGGATCTCTTCAAATACGCAGTTTGTGCTATGAAACAGTCAGGCTTACAAATAATCCTGACTAGAACATATTTTAGGGGGCTCATGTATTAATTCAGTTGCCTAACAGTCCACATTAGGTTCAGGTAAAGGAACGATACAATCTCTCAAGAGAGTCACCACAACAAAAAGAGAGGACAGAAGGAATGGAAACAAGAAATCAAGAAGTTTGCTGCAGTGGTTTCCCTATGTGGGTGCACTCTGGCTGGTGCTCCATAAAATGAGTTGAGTTACTGCCAAGATGCGGACATTGCATCTCACTCTGGGAAGACTCATACAAAATAAAACCAGAATAATGCATGTGTGCCAAGAATGAAAGATGGAAGAATATCACAGTATGTATACGCAAAATATAGTTAATTAATTATGATTTACATTTCTATATCCCAAAATGATTTATACAAGTTGCATACACAGAAATCATTTCAACTACCAATGAAGCCAACTTTGAGATGAAACACAGCAGCTGTTTAGTAAGTGGGTTGTAGCCCACGAAAGCTTATGCTCTAATAAATTTGTTAGTCTCTAAGGTGCCACAAGTACTCCTGTTCTGTTTAGTAATGTTCACCAATGCTACACAACTGTTGAGGGATAGAAAGTGAGTTTTTACTGACAATCTATAAATTAGCCCTTTGGCTATGTTCTTACCCTGATTGGCAGTGCTGATGCCCAAGTGAGTCAAGTTGGCTGCAAGATTTCCAGTGCTATTGGAGCTACTCAGGGATGGGAACGTGGATTCCTCAGGATCTAGTGGTGTTGGGAGAGGAGAAGGGAAATGGATGTTTGTCAGGTCTGGCAGAGAGCCACCTGTGTTGTGTGCAGCCGGAATCAGTGTTGTAGTGTTTTCCTGGTCAGCTGATGGAAAGATGCTAAATTAAAAAAAAAAAAAAATACAGTAACAAAAGTCAGTTGAGATTTTAGTCTACATACACACTTCCCACATGATATACAAAAAGAAAGTTTATCTGAAGCTGTCATGCACAAAGCTATGTAAAAAATATACATATAAAATATTTAGACTGGTCACCGTTATAAAGTTTCAACATTTACCCATGGTTGTCACACGGCAATATTTTCAGTGGGGTTGCAGTTGTTTTCATATTACACCTCTACCTCGATATAACGCTGTCCTCGGGAGCCAAAAAATCTTACCGCGTTATAGGTGAAACCGCGTTATATCGAACTTGCTTTGATCTGCCCGAGTGGGCAGCCCCGCCCACCCGGAGTACTGCTTTACCGCGTTATATCCGAATTTGTGTTATATCGGGTCGCGTTATATCGGGGTAGAGGTGTATTTAGAAGAGGGAACTACAGTTTGTGCATTTCAGGGTGATTATGATCCCTTGGGTGCTTATAAAGCCTACGTCTCAGTGACTAACTCTACTTGAGGTATGCATAAGGTATCTCACAGAAACATGCAGTCTCCTGTGTCTTAGTCATTTAGAAACATTTTTTGTACACTCACATGCTTCTGCGCCTGATAAAAGTTTGCTGACAAAGACACACATCAAAGATAACTGCAAAGTTGTATCAGTTTTGAGTTATGCCTAGATTTGTGCACTGAATCCACTTTGTAGGGAGGTTCTGAGAAGTATTTAGCCAATAATGTGTCCTTTTAAAAAAAAAAAAAAAAAGTCCCCTCTGTGAAAGTTCATTTGTCAGGATTTGCTAGAGGCACCCCCAAAAATGCATCACTTAAGGAAATCAACAGGAGACTCAGGCAACCTCTCTGGCTCTTCGTGTATCTATTCCAGAATTATGCATTCTAGAGCATATCTAGAGAACTCAAAAAAGCCAGCGGACTTTCACAGTGTGTAATGTGCTTTCCTGATTATCTCAATGCTTTTTACAAAACGTTAATTGACGATAGCCCCCAGTTTTACAGATTGTGAATCAGGCACAGAGAGAGAAAATGATTTGTCCAAGTTCACACAAAACATGCCAAACTGGGAATAAAACTCAGAATTCTTGACTCTCCGTCTCCTGTTTTAATCACATGTACTCTGTATAATTAGTTAGAGACTGAATCTAGAACATTTTTTAAATGGTTTCATCATCTGGGTTATCATGGCCAAGCAAACCATTTTTCAAGGAACGTTAGCATTCATCACGTTTTCAGGGTTTAAAAGTAGCCTGGCTAACATTGTTTCATTGTCATTATAGAGGGAACCTTAATCAATAGAGCTTGTGGAACAGGAAGCATAGGTACAGGCAGTGAACTTTCTACATGCAGCCCTACAAAACCATATACCCCACTCCCAAACTTACTTGATTCCTGGAACTTCACATGATTTAGGCCTCGATGACCCTGTCTAAAATAGAACAGAAAGACACTGTGAAAGGCAGACATGTGCAAAACAACATTTAGGAAATAATTTGTTTAAAAAGATAGGAAACCTACTAAATGAAACAACCTAAGGAGAGCAGTTTCTCATGTGCTCTTAAAAGCCTCTTCTTGCTCAAAATTGGTGTTTGGTGCCACACCAAAAACTGATCTCAGCATGGACTTTAAACCAACTAAGCTTCAAAGTTCCAATGATAAACTAAACAAAATGAAGATGGAGCAAGGGTAAAACATCTCCTGCTTGAGTCAGCATGCAAACATCGGCCACGTCATTTTTCTTACTAAATCTAAGCCTCTCGCTCTACGTCGGGGGTGTCGACGTTAAATAAATGGAAATCTACAAACTATCACAAAGACGCTAATTGAGTGACAGAAAAGCAAGTAGAGCTTTAGAAAAAACCTTGGAAAGTACAAGACAGGTATATCAATAAAACTTTAATAGATTATCTCAGCCCTTATGATCTCCCACCTCACAGTGCCACACACCAAAAGCTCCACAGCATAACAACTTTCATACCAATGGAGGGGAAAAACGCAAAGCTCTCTAACACGGCTCCATGAGTCTGCAAGAGGGCTACACAGAAGTACTTGCTCCCCATATCTCCCAGCTCAGGATATAAACTCTGATCCCTAATGTCTGTTACATCAAGTATTTTCATTTTGATATTTCTGACTTCTCCTGTTCCATGTCACATTTTGTTTTCCTGAAAAGCTGCCTGGACAATTGCAGGGTACATTCTACCAAAACAGGATTGCAGCCTTCCTGATAAGACATCATAGTATGAAATGTTTTAATTACTGCCTTTGCTAGCAAATCTTCGTGCTAAAAGAACAGTTGTTAGAAAGTAAAAGCTCTCAGATGAGGTATAAAACTATGCATCCAACTGTCATAAACCAGACAGTCAGGCATCCATAGTACATCCAGAATACAAGTCCTACTTCTATCTTAGTGAGTTCCACTAGCTCAGAGAAACTTGCCTCCTAGACACTTTATGGACATGAATAATACAGTGGTAATCCACAGAAAAAGAACCTTACAGTCCTCCCAACAATGTCACTTTCAAGGCTTCTCATATGAAAATCCCATATGATGGCAGCAGTCACTTTGTATGATCATAAAGCAGAATTAGCTACTCATATAAATAAAAATCTGCATGTAATACAGGGAACTTGATTAACAACTGCACGCCTTTTTATAAAATATGCATACCTTTTTTAAAAAGGTTACATTTGCTAGGGGCTGACTGTTAAAACACGTAATTGCCAAGGTGAGCAGGGAGACCGTAGAAAAGGGAAAGCTGCCATGCTGAGAAGTCACAGTTACACTTTGAAAATACTTTAACACAGAGAACAGCTCAAGAAAATCATTAATTCAGCCTTGGTTTTGAAGAACTTCATGAACCAAACATCCTTTCCCAATTCGTTCTTTAATATATTTTTTAAAAATCAAAAGTTTATTAATATTCAATAATTCAGACCTGTTTAAACATCCAGATTTATGTAAGTATTAAAAAGATATTCAGATCTCAAAAGCAAATGCTACCATTGCTACTTCTATCTATCTAGTAACCAGGATGATGGGGGAAAATATGGAGACAATAGCAGCTCTATAGGAGCAAAATAACTGAAGTCCTGAATATTTACCATTTGTTTTACAAACAACAAAAATCTGATAACTGTTTTGGGTGCTGAAGTTGCCTTGAAAAATGCCAATTAGACAAATTAACAGAAAAAATGTAAACTAGGAGAGAGAGAAGAGGCAGAATGGTGAGTGGTAGAAATAAAAGCAGAGATACAAGTAGGGGTAGAGTGCATTTTATTTCATTACAGTGACATTCTGCATTTGAAAAGTCTTCCAAGACTCAAGTTTAGAATACAGTTTCCCCCGAGACAGTTGACAGCAATAGGCACAGAGATAGATATACTGCTCCCTGATCTCACTTTAGGTGGTTTGTTGCAGAATACAGAACTTCAACTCAAGTCTGAGCAAGCAAAGTTCATTTCAATTCAACATTATTCAAAATCAGCAAAGAGTCCTGTGGCATGCATCCGAAGAAGTGGGTATTCACCCACGAAAGCTCATGCTCCTATACGTCTGTTAGTCTATAAGGTGCCACAGGACTCTTTGCTGATTTTAGAGATCCAGACTAACACGGCTACCCCTTTGATATTATTCAAAATGTTTACCTAAACATATTTACAAAATAAATTGTCTGGACTAGAACTTTTGAACCTTACAAAGATTTGGCGTTTCTACCTTTTTAGTGTCCCATGCTTGTTTAGAGAGGGCTTTGTCTGTTTCAGATGTGCTTTCCTCCATTCCAGGGACAGTCAATAATAAGACTAGAAAACAGAATAAAAGTTAGCACATCCCAATATTATAAATCTGCTAAATCCTGCAGAAACAATATTTTTCAGTCAGGAAAAATTGTGGTAATTCTTAACCCTAAATAACCATTCCTATTCTCAACTGATAAATAAGATGTCTATTTCAGAATAAAACTATATCCAGATCAATTAAAAAAAAGCATTTCACCCCAAGTGTAGCTCATCAGCTTTCTAAGAAGCTATTTGTTTTTCCATCGAGGACCAAGAAAACTTTCAAAAGCATGTAAGTGACTTAGCCTAAGTCCCACTGACTTTTAGTAAGGCTTGGATAAGTACCGAAGTCGTTTTTGAAGTGTGTTCACTGCAGAGTTAACTTGGGTGATTACCAGACTAGCCCTGGTGTGAGCAGCCCTATGGCAAAGCCCTGACCAAGTTACTGTACCTCATTGGTGCTGCATTCACATGTGTGTATCATTTGGACCTCTGGGGGCATATCCCATGGATCTTGGTGCTGCAGTAAGCTAAACCACTCTATAGCTATGTCTACACAGGGATAAAAAAACCCATGGCTGGCCTGGGTCAGTGGACTCAGGCTTGCAGGGTTCAGGCTGCAGGGCTGAAAAATTGCTGTGTAGACATTCAGGCAATGGGCTGGAGCCCAAGCTCGGGGACCCTCCAACCTTGCAAGTGGAGCCCCATGACCGTGAGTCAGCTGACCTACCCCAGCTGTGGTGACATAGTGGGGTTTTTCCCAGTGATTCTTCCCCAATTAATTGTGAGAGAACTTGTGTGACCTTCTTGACACACAGGAGGAACTGTGGGAAGGTACTAGAAGACTATCAGCACTTGAATGATTTAGCGTGTGTCCTTACTGTACAGAGGGCAGGTTACCAGCCTGAGTGAAAGCTGTACCCAGGCTCTATAACCCCAGTTGGGCCGGCTAGGCAAGAGTTTAAAAGCATCAAGCCTGGGCGAGCGAGTTGTTGTATGTGGAGGGGAGAGGGATGTTAGGGGCAAGACGTAAGTAAGAGCCCAGTGAAGACATACCCTATATGCCTTTGAAAGTTTTACTCCAAATCTGATTTAGACTGCTCAAATCTAGATGGAGCACTGCATGCTGGGACCTGTAGTTTCCCCTTTGAGGCTATCCTATTTTTCTATCTGCTCTATTTTAAGTAAGTGATATGCAAGACTTAAATGCTTCTAGTGAGTTACCAATGTTGCCCCATTGGGGCAACACCTAGACATTTCCACTGGGATATGAGAAACTGAATTTATACTATTTCTGTGGTCCAGGACGTTTATGGGTTCAAAGTTGGGAACAATTTCATCGTGCAAGCAGCAAGGCTATGTCGCTATGCAGACAGAACATCCATACACAGCAGATTTCCATCTGCAGAAGCCTTTCTAGGCTATGACATATTACACTATGGCCCCAATCCAATAAATGCATCCATGCAGACTTTACAACCCAATTAGGTTCCATGCGGGCACAAAGGCCCACGTGCATGCCTCTGATTGTGGGATCAGAGCCTACGTTTGGAAATCACTGTATAAGTTTGCAGTACTATATAAAAGTTTATTTATATTGCATGTTTTATTGCTCACTAAGGTCTGGTCTATACTACCCGCCTGAATCGGCGGGTAGAAATCGACCTCTCGGGGATCGATTTATCGCGTCCCATCGGGACGCGACAATCGATCCCCGAATCGGCGCTCTAACTCCACCAGGGGAGGTGGTAGTAAGCGCAGCCGACAAAAAGCCGCAGAAGTTGATTTTGCCGCCGTCCTCACAACGGGGTAAGTCGGCTGTGATACGTCGAATTCAGCTACGCTATTCGCGTAGCTGAATTTGCGTATCTTAAATCGACTCCCCCCTGTAGTGTAGATGTACCCTAACAGTGGTGTAAAGAGTACATAATAGTAGTTACAATGGAGAATGTGTGTACTTGACTGTTATATATTTCCGTATTACTGTGTATTTCTTCAAGGACTAAAACAGTCATTTTTAGATGCATCTGTAAATCTCACTGCATAGATTAAAGGGCCTTCAATATATTTTGGAACTGATAATAGAAGCAATAACCAGCAGAGGGCACCAAAAATCATCAGTGATGCTTAATGGTTACTGCTACCTGTCAGTAGTGACATTAAGAACACCAACCCATTATTTCTAAACATTGGTCCTGAGGTATAAGACATTGATTATTTGCTACCCATAAGAACTGGAGAAGATCCCTCTATGGTGCCATATTTGAATTGCATCTCCATCATAGCTATTTGATAAATTTTGCACAAGTAGCTTACAATGGCTAATTTTAAAAATGGAAAGTGAAAGTTATCAAAGCCACCTCTAAATATTTAACAAAAGGCCTGGGTAGTTTTACTATTCTCCTGATCCCCAACACATGCCCAAAGGGAGAATCAAACTATCTGAACCTAGGTAATATTTAGAGTTGAGAGCTTGCACATTAAACGATCAGTGTTAACCGTCATGTGTTTTTCAATCTGAATGCTGGAAGTTTTATATTTTGACATAAGGTTGGTCTCTGGAGGAAAGTCCTTGAGAGCTGTTGGATTAATTTACTGGAAAGGAAATGTAGCAGTCCTAAGATTCTGAAGCCAGAATTCATTTCAAGAATTTGATTTTGTTTTGCCACTTGTTTTAATATTTTATGAGACTGCCAACTTGGAATGTTTGTCACAAGCCAGTTATCATCAACAAGTAACAAACTAAACAAAATGCCCAAAAGAAACCTTGCCAATTACAGCAATTTTCCCCAACAGAGTTACCAGTACTATTGATACCAGGGGGTATTAAATCTTGGTTAAAATCATCTGGAATATATTCTCTTTGTGAAAAGAGCTCTCGCTGTGACCTCTCGTACCCAAAAACTTGTTGCCACCAAATGATTGATCAATGTGAAATAACATTGTGATCTCAGTCCAGTTCTAAAACATGTCCATAATGCAAACCATCACTACAAACTGGAACTAGCTGGAAGCCCCGAAAGTAGTGCCAGCATAGAAATCATGGACTGCATGGACCAGGAAATCTAAACTACCTTCTTACTCTTGAAGATGGGCCAGGCCAAACAAGGCTGAAGTAAAATGGCAGGATAGAGTGTATGAGAAGCCTGCTCTATCGTTGATAATGCTCTACTTATTTTGGACGTCAGTCTCCAGAACTGTCATTGAGGCACACTTCTCCAGCACCAACCACATTTTGATAACTCCTACAGTCCCATTTATATGGGAAAAACATTTTTTAACGATTTCAAGTTCTGAAATGGATTTTCCATTTCCCCCTGCCCCACCCCACCCGCCCCCAAAGAGTTTACCTCTTTTTTGCTGCATGTCTTGTGACCCTCCTGAAAAGGACTCTTGTTGAGTTGGGGTCATTGTACTTTGATGCAAGGCAGAATCTGAATTGGTCCTGGCAAGAAAGCAAAGAAACCTGTTAGCTTTTTAAACTAAGGACGCTTATGAGGATAATAATCCCATTAGTCACATGGGAAATTCAGCAAATTAAAAGAAACCTGAAATACCACTTCATAATTGTAAAATATTACACTGGGATTATGCTGGGCAAGATTTCTCTGTGAAATGATCAGATAACTTTAGAGAAATGAATTTATTACGGGCTTATAGAGCAATTGTTTCAACAACACAACAGAGGAGGAACATCAAAGACGAACAAATGAATCACTATAGATAGAAAACCATCTGGGGTGTACTTTCACTGGTATCGTTGAGCCAGTGTATGGTCTCATAAAATAATAAGCAGCAGCACTTTTGTAGTTTAGAGCAATTTATAAACATTGCTTAAGCTTCACAGCATCTCTGTGAGGAAGATATTACCCACATTTTACAGCAATGGAAACGGACGAAAGTAGCCTGTCTTAGAGCCAGCATTAAACTGTGGGAGTCCCAAGATCCCAGTCCTCTACTCAAACCATGCCACTCTTGCATGATGTAGTGTCCTCAAACTGGTAAGCACAGCACACCACATAAGCACTTCAGCTGTCAGATGCAAGGGGCATGATGGTGGGGACAGATGACTACACATTCCTTGCTCACTGATTGCTTGTGAAGAAAGACCAGCCCCACTTCCAGTGTAGTGGTAAAAAACTAAGATTTTCTAACTCAGTAATTCTGAGCATCTTACCCCTCTATAGACGTAAGCCTGGGCAACTTTACATCCCAAAATCTAAGTATGCAGTGGCATACTTTACTTTAAAATATAGTCTCTTAAAAGAATCCATAAAGAGTTGAAAAAACATTAAGTTCTAGATTCAGTAAAAAACAAACAAACATGGCAATCCAGATTAACCTGAGTACTGTAAGCTGCCATAGGGAAAAACAAATGTTTCTTGCATTTCTAAGGGTTGTCACAGGATCTAAGACCTCAGACCAGAGACTAACGCACATGGAATTATGCCACTAACCTTCTCCAGCTTGTATCCGATGGAGGCGACAGATACACAGTGCCATACGGACAACTGTCCACGTGATTCAATTAGTTAAGGGGGAGAAAACCAGGAGCTTCTTGTTTAGATAACAGGCCCATTTGAAAGCTTTGAACAAGGAATAATTTAAGTTACTTTGGTCAGAGCCAATACACTCTAGTGAGAAAAGTGAAGAGCATTTCTTGTGGAGGTCATGCTGATTTTGGCATGACATTTCAAACAAAATATGCATGTTAATGGTGGCTTTGTATGTGCTGTAGGAAAGAGCATTCCTACTTAAAAATTCAAGCCTGACAATACAGAAACAAAAAATGCTTATACCTACTAGGGTGGAGTGGTATAGAGGGAGTCATTCTGAACAGTCAAATGAAGGGGTAATCACTCTCCATCTCCTTCTCAAACGTTTTTCTTGACCTCCTCCCATATAATCCTATGTTTTCCCTAGCCACACACAAAATGACTCCCTCTCCCTGCTCCCCACCACCACACACACACAGGCTGAAGTCTTCTCAGACAAGTAGGGATGGGCCATGAAATATGGCACCTTGCTAGGAGGACACAATTCAACCTACATCTTCAGATACAGTTTATTCCACCTACACATCTCTTCCGCCACCAGGCATACATTAATACTACTCCCTCCGTGTTTATAGGTTGTATCACAACTTTCCTCTGAAGAGAGAGAGAGAGAGAGAGAGACCACATAATGCCACTCAACTGGCCAGCAGTTGTCATTTTTGAGTAACAGCAGGATCCACCCTCATTTCCAATAACCACTCTGGCACTGGCATTTTTAAAGCTAGTCAACAGCAATAAGCTAATTCTGTTTTATGAAAGTCAGCAAGAAATAGTGCTTGGCAGATGCTGAACTCATATGAGCCAGCTTATATTAGAAATGGGAAGAAATCACCTGCAAAAAATTCGGTCCTGGTTCTGCTCAGTTTTGAAACAAGATTCAGACCCACCAACACTGCCATTTTGCACTTCTGTTGTAGTTTTCACTAAAGGATCTCAAGGCACTACCTAAGCCTCTCAACAGCTCTGGGAGGTAAGTATGTATTATTGTCCCCTTGTTACAGCTGGGGAATCTGAGATACAAAGAAGTGAAGTATTAGGATTTGTGAAAGATCGGACAGCCATATAGCAATAAGGAGACTATCCAGTTACATTACACTGGATAATGCTTCAGAACAGGCGATATTAACTGTCCAGATTTCAGAAGAAACATCCCCTGCAAGCAAGACAGTTGTCCATTATGGGTTTTTTTGCACCTTCGACACAATTCACTGTCACAGACAGGATACAAGACTGTGTGGACTTCTAATCTGAGTCGGCATGTTCTTATGCCCAAAGTCACAAAATGAATCAGTGGCAAAACCAGAACGGAACTCAGGCATCCCCCATTATAATCCACACTCAAGCTCTACAATGCTTGGGGTTTATCTGCTTGTTTATTTAAAGTAATTTGTAAACCAAACTTTAAATACAAAAAGTGCTGACGAAGGCAACATTTTAATGCCATGCCCTAAACCAAAGGATATCTGCCTTCCGTGTTTATCTACGGACAGCGGACGCCGGTGCGGTGACCCAAGGCGGTTTCTGTCACGATACACTCTGTCCACCAGGCCATGATGCCGAGTTGTCCTACTTGTATCCAGTCCAGATGACTGAAAAGGAGTCTAAGGGAGATAAAAAGTTAACAGAAAAATACATGTAGAAACCACCAGGCCAGAATCAAAATATCACAGCTAGGCCTGATTCTGTATGCACTAACAATAAACCTAACCGCTACGGATACACCAGCCAATCATCATTTGGGCAATGTCACTTTTTCCTTAAATGTAATTTTCATATACTAGACAAAACACAGTATATCTGGAGTGGAGAAGCACTGGAAACTACCTCCCAAAAGAGAGGCTAGTAATAGGGGGAGGCAGACACCAGCAGATCTCCTAAATTTGCACTATTTTTCCAACCTTTAAGTTCTACCCCATCTTTGAAACACCGGGAACGATAGAAATGAATAGAGTAACCTACGAACCTACTGCTAAATAGTGCATAAGTTACTCCTGGTGTATCATGCAGCATGCGTCCAGAAGGAACATGCTCACAAATAGAGCTTAAACTTAACTTGAAGACAAAAGATGCAGGAAGGGGATTCATCCAGTACACTGAACTATTTCAGATTCCTAACATTCACTTGATGCTCTGTAGGAAATGTCTCTCTCAAGGCATTTTTTTCACCCCCTCTTATCAGCATCCTAATTATCTTAAGACAATGACAAAATAAAAATATCAAAACAAGAAATTTTTGCTAACAAAGATGATTAAAGCATCGAACATTTTAAAATTGAATTTACTTTCTAAAAGTTTCATTTAGATTGGGCAGCCAACTAGTCTGGTCAATTCCACTCTATGGATCTTATGCTTTAGAAGAATGTATATGCCACTAGAATTTTTACTGCTTGGCAACAGGTTTCCCAGAACCTGAAGCTGCTGCAGACAAGACTTCCAAGCCATCTCACTCTAAATCCTCTACATTATCACAGTGCAAAGCTGCAGGAAAACAGAACGCTCAGCCTCCATTCGTACATCAAGGGCTGTCCATGAACCACGTGGGAGAAACTGGGCACTCCTCAACTCCTTGCCAACCGTAACAGCTTTGCTGAATCCCTTTGCTCCATCTGTTTGGAAATCCTAAATTTGCTCCTTCATTCAGGTCCTGCAAATACAGTATACTGTCCTGTCTGCCAAACCACAGAGCCATCTTGCCATTACACCGCCGGGCACGAGGGCTTTGGGGTGCAGGCTACTCCGGGGCTGTGGTGGGGAGAGAGGACTCCCCCCAGCCCTCTCTTGCAGCAGCAGCTCGGGGACAGGGGAGAGGCGCCTCTCCCGTGGCCCCAGCAGCTCCGGCGGGGCTGGGCTCGGCCGAGGAAGGGGCTCCTCTCCCCAGCTGGCCATGGCAAGTCCAGGGCAGGTCCGCGCTGGGGTTGGCAGGGAGAAGCGCCCCGCCCCGCCGCAGCCCTGAGCCCCTGCATGGGGCTTAATAAGCAGCTGAGGGGCTTAGAGGGAACTTAGCCAGGCCTGCATGGAGAAGACCCTGGGAGGCAGCCTTGTGATATAGTGAGAAGGAATTCTGCAGAGCTCGAGCGGTGAAAAGTGGGCAGAGGATTCATTCTGGGGAGGATGGAAGAATTTTTGTTCCTTTGAGTTGGGACATTATTACCCTAGTCTAGGGAAGACAGGAACAGAGCACTTCGAAACTGTAGCACTTGGCATTATGTAAAACTTTTAAATACACAGAACACAAGCAACCTAAACAGAGAAAATTAAATGAGATTTTAAAAGTTTTCAAGTTTTAGTAATATGGGATATTAATCAGTAACAAGGGCAAAAAAATGCATAACTAGGACTGTCCTGATAATATCTTTTAATACAGAAGCAAGCTAAGTAGATTTAGTATATAAACCACAAATAATGAAATGAAACAAGCCATCAGTTTCAGGCATAATGAGAAAAATAATCTCAATAAAGGAGTCATTTCAAAAATTAGCCAGAGTATAACAAAACCTCAGTATTAGCCATATTGAAGAATGGGGCCTACTCAGAAGTGGACGTTTAGTCACAGGACATTTGATTAAAGGATTTTACCCCCTCAAAAAAAAGTTGCCAAGAATATACACCCAATTCCACAAAATATTCATTCTGTAATAGACTCACCTCCCACCCACATCTTATTCTGTGGCCAGGATTATTTTATCCAGTGTGTGTTTTCACTTTTGCCTTTAGACCGTCACCCCTTTGGAGACGAGTCCCATGATAAGTCCAATACTGGTCACACTATCAATAAGGCCCTTTGTTTTTCTTTTTTTTACTAAAAACTTTTACAAAAGCTATTACATGGTTTTTACCAATTTTGACCAAATTATGGACCACTCAAGTATGTAAAAATACTTATGTTAAGAAAATCTAATATATTAAGTAGATGCACTTTAGTTTATGTATAGAGGCAAGGCTGTCTTTTAAAGTAAGGCAATGTCATGGCAGATATATATACGCATGCGCGTGTATGTACAGTTGATGTACAGTCCATGAAATAAACCACAGCATTAATCTGCTTATACTTTCAATATGCTTGCTTTTCTTTATTTGTTGCTCTTTTCCTTTCTTCCTATCCCCCAATATTTACCCAGGAAACTGTGAAGTTAATTTTTTTAACTGTTTTTTAAATTTTTTGTAATAAACACCAGTAAATTCCCAGAAAATTTTAAACAAAATAAAAACTGAAAACAAAGGGCCTTGCCTATGAACAGTCCTATGCAGATGCACATGGGCACTATAACCATTAATAAAGCAGAGTTACCGTTTGGCAGCGTGCATTTATATGTGGCACCAATTGTGAAAGATGTCCACAACCAGAACGCAGCAGAACTATATAAACCAACTTCTTGGTAACATGCATATTTTTCCATAGAGCACTATGTGCTTTTTATACCTTAAAATTACATCATTTAGGACTGAAACCTTAATAAAGTGATGCTGATCGGCAGAGGTTATGATTCTGTGCTCTGGGCCTGTTATCAGCCTTGATTGTACAGTCTCCAGTTGAAGAAAGTCACAGCACTGATTTAAAATGTATAAACAGCAGCTGAAGCTCACCTGGAAAGGCAGGTCCATGGTACTGTTCCCAATCTGATTCACATTTGGCAGTGACCCTCCATAGTACTGCCCACGACTCTGTCCCAACTGCAAATACTGTGTTTTCTGTAACTGTAACTAAAGAAATAAGAAAAAAAAAAGGATGATTGGAACTAGGAGAGGTACTTAAAAAACAACATTCATTGCATTCTATTGTGCTTAAGTTCAGACATCACCATGAACAGCTTCCATCCCAAACAGTGTGAAAGGAAAATTGACACCAGCTCACAAATAAGTTTAACTATGAAGAGTAAGACTGAAGATGACAGCTTGCCAATTCTGCTTGACAAATGATAGAAAGTCAGCTTTGTAATCACAGTGATCACATGCAAGTTTATATCAATAAATTATGTGAAACCATAAGGTATTTCTCACCCACTACACTAAAGAGCTAGAATTTAAAGAACTTGCATTAATCTGATGTTTGACCATGTTAATGCCAAAATTAGATATGAGTTCAAAGAGCTCAGATATATATGCAACAAAAGCATTCTCATTTAAAATACACCTCTACCTCGATAAAATGCTGTCCTCAGGAGCCAAAAATCTTACCACGTTATAGGTGAAACCGCATTATATCGAACTTGCTTTGATCCACCGGAGTGCGCAGCCCCACCCCCCCAGAGCACTGCTTTACCGCATTATATCCAAATACGTGTTATATCAGGTCGCATTATATCGGGGTAGAGGTGTATATGTATTTCTTTAACAAAACTTGCAAAGTTTTCGGCATTTGTATTTGAACAGAATTAGTCAGTCTAAATTGTAATCTTATGCTGCGTAGGAAATCCTCTTATTGTCAGGGCACCAGTTTCTTAACACTGGAAAAGGCTCTTTAGACAAGATGCAGATAGCTCTTCGATTGAAATTTTACATTCTGGACATAAGAGGAATTCCTCACTATAACAGACTTATATGAGTGTAAACAATGTAACACAAATAGCAGTTTTAAGAAGGCAGGAAACATCTTATTGTCAAATGTTAAATGACAACACACTAGCTGAAAAACATTTTAGCATGTTCTACATGTTTATCTAACCAACGACAGTTTTTGTGAAGAGATAAAGGAGATAAAGGAAGCTATGCACATGGAATTAAGTAATCTTATTTTCACTGTTATTCCTTCTCTTTTCAGAGAACTGTCTGTCCTTAACCACTTTTGATTAACAGAACCTGCCTTTTAACAAAGTTTTAAGTGACTGGCTCTCTTTTCAAGATCAGAAAATCTTGCATCCAAATCATATTTACCAAGTTACTAACTCCGTTTTCAGTCATTTCTCCTCGACCGCTGTACTGCTTTTGCATAGCAAACTCAGATCTGATGTCACAGTGCCACCATGTCCTTCTGATAGACTGACCAACTGGGGGCTGGGATCATTTAAATGCGACAGCTTTGATGTTTTACTTTCCGAAAAGTAAGAAAGGCATTCCTAGATTGGCAGTGATCATTTGTTTAAAGAATGTTTGATCCTTGGACTAGAAGCACTGTGGCGTGTACATCAACAGATTTCTCATTTTCACTCACAAACAGATCCTTAAGCCATTCTCTTGGAATCCCGGGATTTCAGAGAATGAGGTTTGGAAATGCCACTAAAAATCTGGCATCCCCAAAGATCAGTTGTTTACATGTTTGTTTTTCCTTTCTTTTGAAATGATAAAATGGGACCTATGATCCTGCCTTTAAAGGCTATAACAAAGACTATGGGGTTGAACAAAGACATTTATGTCATGGCAAGGAATTTGTTTCCTCCTAAAAAGTTGAAAAATGTTACTATCAAGAATTACTCAGATAAAACAGTAATAATGTGACCAGGCCTCCTGAACAGTTTTGAATGTGCGCAAATTCACCAGAGGATAATCATGACTGAGGGAGAAAAAGAGACAGATCTGCTTGTATTATGTCTGGCTCTAGACAGTGTTCTCAGGTCGCTCAATTTCACAAAACAGTGAATTCACTCTCAATAGACAAACGTGCACACGGATATGATAAAATCCAAATCTTAGAGTACAAATCTACTTGTCCCTTAATAGTGAGCACTCTACGAGAGCCAGCAATTTTCCACAACCCAGTTAACCCAGATCTCTGAACTGTTTTGTTTGAGGCACTAGATTAATCTGACAATGTATCAGACAATTTGCAGATCTAAGCTCAATCATAGAAATTTGATTGTCAAAAAGGCACAAAAACTATGCTAGCTGTTTAGAGCAAGAATAAAGATATGATGTGTTGACTGTGATTGAGGCCTATTGTTTCCTCTTCAGTTGAGGAGCATACACACCAAGCAATTTTTTACAAATGGCTTCTTTTGTGGTCACACCGGCTCAGGAGTGTACAAAATAACAAAGCTCCAAATCTACCCCAAGGAAGAGACCTAAGTGAATTGACATATTTGGAAGGAAAAACTATCCTCTGACAGTCTTCAAATGAAAATTTCTAATTATCAAACACTCCTCTCCAAAAGCTTTGCTGGCAAAGGGTCATGGACTTCCTTGATGAAGTACCACAAGAGTCCAGAGAATAATTAAAATCTTTAATCAGAATTAGCGGCTAAAACCTCACTACCAGTGGCAGTAGACTCTGGATACTGCACACATTCAATGACAATTGCAATAACAATGAGGTGTGCGTCCTGGTTACAGTCTTCCAGTATCTCATGTGAGGTTTAAAATGCTACTAACAATCCACCTTTGGAAGGGTCAGAACTATTTAGTTCAAAGGATGACACTTTGCACACTCTTGATAGGACGTATTGTGGCCAGAGTTTAACTGAGCTGATCCCTAAAGACCATCATTAACTGGCATCACCAGTCTTTCTGGCAGAGATGTATGTAATTTAGAGAGAAGTTTGAGATTTTTCACTCATAGCCTCCACTGGAATCTTGAGTGTTTCAGCTAAACTTTTAAGAAGTCCTGAAGTGATCTGTAGTCTGGAGCTGCTGAAGTGGACGGAGTTACAATCTCATCAGGTGAAAATGACAATACTGCAGCTGGGGGAAGATCATTTTGATGAAGTTGTTCCTCCTCAGAAGTGTGGAACTGCTATGAGTCTCCTGTGCACCATAAGGTTGCTGTTCTGTGAGAGTTCTGATGGGTTCTATTTGCTCTGGTCTCCATATAGACACGTCTTCTGAGCTATTGAAGGTCCTGGGAGCCCAACAAGGGCAAGAGTGTGCACTATAAGCAAACAGTGTAGTGGGCCAGAGAAGGGAGGGGGGCACCAGGCTGAGTGCCTCCCCTTGTGTGCTCTGCTATCCTGAGATACAGAATCTTTATCAGATGTGAAGTGGGCTGGAGAATCAGACGGTGAACACACCTTACTCTGATTTGAGAGGAATATTCCTTTTCCTAGTTTCCCTGTGCAAGGGGAATGATCTAACAGGAGTCCATGGGCGGTCTTTCCCTGAAACCCTAACCAACATAGAAGCACATACCAGTACTGATAAAGGGGCTCTCACTGATTGTGTCAGTAATTGGGACTCTGGAAAATTTGACACTACTAAATCCCCCCGAGCCATAAAGCTCAGTGCCAATGTGATCAGTACCATCAACACCAACTCAGAGGGCTTCAGTACTGGAACAGGGGTTATTGAAGCGAGTGCTGACAGAGACTTGAAGCTGGTGCCAAGACCCCTAAGGGTGGTAATGCCAATCTAGTATGGTTAACCACAAGGGGCTGCTCTTTGTACAGTACCAAAGAATACAGACATGCTTTAGGATGTCAAAGGAACTACATTTATGCCCTGAACTACCCTTAGAGACTGGGTGAGATGATTTCTGTCCTTTCTTTGAGGCTCCATGAAAAGGTGATCTTGCGTTCCCTACAGGAATGATGGTGTCTCCTATCCTTTTTTGATGAAGATTTTGGAGCCAGAACCCTTGCCAAAGGAATAGATGAGGCAGACACACCCATGGCATGGTAGCTGCTGGTGCACTTTTTGAAGAAGACAGTTCCAAAGCTGGGGGATCCAGCATACCCAGATCCTATGCTGGTCTCATATTTAACTAGCAGGAACAGCTTCAACTTCAATTTTGAAATAAACAAATAGAGCATTTGTTCATGATGTGTCCCTCACCTACACAAAAGGCACTTAGAAAGGCCATCATTAAGGGAAATGGTTGTGTCACATGAGAGATTTGAAATTAGGAGATTTCTGATCAGCCATAAGGACTGAAGACCCAGTATTGGGTAATTAAAGCAATATAAAAAGATTCCCAAATGAAATTCAACACTAATCCTAATACTAACTACATATAACACTTACAGTAGGAAAAAAATGAGGAAAAAATAGCTAGAGTATAGACACCACTAACCATCTCTCAGCCAAAGATGGTGAGAAGGAACTGAGAGGCAGCTGGCCCTATTCAACCCTTTTATGTCCTCTGAAGAGGGGCACAAAGGCAGTTGGTGGCAGGCTGTAGCGGGGTGGACACCCGCTCCTGCCCTGAGGGGTTGGAAAAGCCCTGCAGAGGGCTGGGGCAGGGCAAGGTAAAACCCTGGCTGATTGGGGGAAGTGGCTGCAGCTGGGGCCATGCCCCAATCAGGCTTCAGCTGGCCTATATAAGAGGCTAGGAGCCAGGAGCTCAGCAGTAGTCTCTCTCTGCCTTCAGAGAGAGAAGGGCCTGGCTGCAGGGAGCTAGACAGGGTACCTGTAGTGGAGCAGGGCTGCGGAAAGGCTGAGGAGCCGGGGAGCTCCAGCCTGGAAAGCCCCAGGCTGCGGCCTAGGAGAAGGCTAAGGGGTACTGGGGGGTTGCAGAGGGCAGCCCAGGGCTAGGCCAAGGCAGCAGGTCCAAACCCAACCTTGCCGATGATGAGTGGCCTATACTGCAGTCTGCCCCAGGGCGCGGGGGCTAGATGGTGACTGGCAGTGGCCTGGTGCTGAGGTGAGGTGGGGTTAGTGGGTGGGGTTTCCCTTGGGAGGGGAGACCTAGCGTGTGTGTGGGTATTGCCAGAGGGCAGCACCCAGGGCAAGGGGCACCGGGGTCCTGGGAGGGACACAGAGGCCAGAGAAGAGGACAAGGCGGATCACCGGCCTGCAGAGGGCGCTCCAGAGGCTGGCGAGCTAATTCCCTGG